GGTGTGGACCCTCTGGGTTTTTTAGTGCAAAAAATTGAACGTGACGATAATTTCTGGCATAACACAATGCAAAGTAAACTCCAGTGTTTTTATATTAATTGTGTTCTGCCAGAAATAATCGACTCTCGCTTTATAAGGGGGTTAGAAATACGAAACCCTCCTCTATTCGTGAAGACACAATATGCTTCACGTTTCTATTTTTATATTTTCATTCATAAAAAAATCAAATTATGGGTGAATTGTCCCGAAGGACATTGCCCGCAAAAGGAATAGAAGAAGAATAAGAAGAAAAACTAATCAAATTATAGGTTAGGTATGTCAAATTATCCCAAAATTCAGTTATGTGATCCCACCATAATTTGCCCAAATCGGCCAGCAGTGTTGCACTTCCGGTCTCCTTGGTGGAACGGATTTTTAGTATGTTAAATATAGCCTATATCCTATCCAGTAAAATAATATAGATCAGTGGGATAAGTTATTTGTAACTGGTGATTGATATACAAAATTGGGATCGGTAGGCGTATCTTTTGCACTCACTAAAATGGCGGAAAAACAGCCCAGACAGCACACGACGTCCATATTTTGTCCAAATAATGTCCTGGATGTCCATGAACTTTATATGGATGTCCATTGGACATCCATTTTCTGTTAACCAATGGATATACCCATTCAGACGTCCAATGGATGTCCAATAAATGTCCATGATGGACACTATAAAAATGACTAACTTATAATAAATTATTATAATTCTTCTTGTACAATTTAATTATTTACAACGTTTTAATTAAAATAAATCAATTAATTTTCCCTTCCTAACGCCTCTGTTGACAAGATAAAAAAGTAAAGGGCCATACAGACCAGACTCGAAGAAGAAAAGAAGAAAGAGGTTAAATTATTTAAAAATCCAAAAATTAAGAAGCAAATCGTTTTTTTTAAACTAATATAACCTATCAATTATGTTTTAAACATTATATTTTCGATTTACATTCAAAGAATCCCTTTCTTTTAGACCTTTTGTCAAACGATTTATACACCTATTTAAGAAAATGGCTTTAGTAAAAGCTAACTATTATGCTGCAAAGTCGAGATGATGTCAATACAATTATTATTGTAACTAAGAGGTGAGAAAACTTTCAAAGGAGAATAAAATAATTCAAGTTTCTATTTGTATGGCATGAGACGTTAGCAGAAGAGGCTATTTAGAAGATACAAATATTTTTAAAGAAGCTGTAAGTTTTACTTTTATTAAATAAAATAGAATCGTTTTGTAAAGTTTTGTTCACAAATACATATTTTTATTGCAATTTTAGATTCAGCAGTTACCAAAACCAGGGACAAGGACATGACGAACTTATGAAAAGATGTTTTGTTTCCATAATTTCTAATAGCCTCTCAAAAGAATTCGCATAATATGATGGTATGAAAGTAAAATGGTAATTTAAAGAAATAATGAGCAGTTTTTTGTTTATATGTAAGTATAGAGATAAAGTACATTAGTCAATGCATATTTTGATATTAGTTAATAACATTTTATCTAAAAGTTTTACATTTTTAACTATAAGTTTTGCCTGATCAGGCGTGTATTAAACGATTGATTTAAGACTCAATATTCGTATAAAATGTAGTCTTTTTTTATCTGCTGCTGAGAGTGTGACAATGGTGCTGCTTAGAAAGTAAGCGAAATAGCCTTAAGAAAATGGCTGAGAAGGTCAACAGAAAGGAGTGCGTATAAAACTAATACATGCTTGATATTATTTATGACAATAAAAATAAGTCCATAGTTGCAATTATTTTATTTTATATTAATATAGGTGGTGATGTCCGTCAGATGTCCATAAATTGGCCAAAAGTAATACAAAAAGAGTCCATATATGGACCTTTCATGGAGTCCAAATGGACGTCCAGGAGTGGGACATTTGTATAGTCTAGTGGATCTCCATTGGATGTCCTTCGGTAAAATGCTGGACGTCCTTTGGACAGCCGATATGTCCATGAATGGACTTCCGATGGACATCCAATTGATTGACTTGTGCTGTCTGGGAGGTCCGGATTTACACGTGTTTACTATTAGGTTTTTTGTTAAAATAAAAGTTATAAGTACGTTTGAACGAAAATTGTATTATTTTAGGTCAAACAATAAAAGTTTTTTCAAAACCGGCATTTTCATGAGTTTTTCGTCGATAAACATAATTTAAACTTCTCACATAAAAAAAAATCAACAATAAGATATACTTAGTGTAATGGGTTTATTTAAAATCTACAATATACATATTTATGAATGCAAATATTGATCCTAAAGTAAAAACTATAGGTGAATCACAATTAAATTTCCCACGCGATCAGCTGATTTCTCTCGAGGAAGGTAACGTACATAACCTTAATCTTTGCTAAAGTGGTGTTTCTTATTGTGTATTGTGATTATTTAGTGTTTGGAAATTGTTTTATTTAATTGCTGTTTGATTCTTCGTTTGTGTTGTTTTCATAAAAATGAATATTGGACTAAGTTTGTTAGAAATATATTTAGAAATTACTCCTGCTTTCAGAAATATTCATGAAGGCAAACAATTATTAAATAATTAATAGGGCCAAAAAAATCGATTATTTAAAATAATCGTTTATTTTCTATTAATCGATTATTGTTGATCAATCAATTATTTTCGACCAATCTATTACTTTAGATGAATCTATTATTCAAGTAATCGATTATTTTCGAGGAGTAAACGATTATTTTCGTTTAATCGATAGTTTTATATTAATCAAGATATCTATTAATTTTTATTAGTCAGTTATTTTTAAATAATCAATTATTATTAAATTATTAGATTACTCGATATTTTTTTTTATTTGGTGTCATCGGCATCGACTGCTAAGGTCATTAGCCTCGTGCTCTGAGTAGACTTTATTTAAAATTATTTTTAATCTTACATTCGATTGTTATTAATTTATCGATTATTAGTAAATATCTATTCCAATTACATATTAATAAGGTTTAACACATAAGTTCTACAACACATTTTCCTAAAATCTATTTTCTTTGTAATTCCCTTAATCGATTATTCATTAGATTATTTTAATGAATCGATTAATCGAAAATAAAAATTATCTTAATAGCGAAAACAATCCATTAATAAAAAATAATCGATTATTCGAAAATAAACTAATATTCGAAAATAAAAGATTATTCGAAAATAAACGATTATTCGAAAATAATCAATAATTCGATTATCGATTTTCAAAAAAAATTAATCGAATATATTGCTCGCCCCTAGATATAACCTGCAAGAAAATATCTTTAACTTTAATCCTAAAAAAGTCGCTGTAAACGGCTGTTTTGAATTACCTAATTAAAAATGTTATTCGTAACGATCCGGTTGGTTCAGTTCCTCATTTGTACTTGTAATTCATTTCTTTTTTTAAAGTATGTACTTTGTAATTGTAGTTATTTTTAAAGTACATATAATTACTCAGCTCTGGAAAGTACCAAGTACTATTACATCGTCGGACAGGTAATTTTATGAGGAATTCAGCAATATGACTGTTTATTGCGTTCACTTTACTTTTAGCGCCCTCTAGTGGGATAAAAATTATTATCTATGGTAAAGTGTGACACTTAATTTGAAAGCTTATTTTATTAGTAATTTAATACACTATGCAATATTATGTTAACTTAACTAATAATGAACTTAAAGGGAAAAATAATGCATTATTACTAAATTTATGTTATTGCAAGTGTAATATGGAGATATCTAGGTTAATGATATGTGGTGCATTGGATTACTAATAAAATAAGCTTTTAAATGAAGTGTCAAACTTTACCATAGATAATCATTTATTATCCAGCTAGAGGGCGCTAAAATTAAAAGGAACGCAATGAACAGTTATATTGCTGAATTGCCCATAAAATTACGTTTTCGACGATGTATCATACTTGGTGCTTTCTCTATTTAAATTGTATTGGTTAGATTGACATAGAGGAGAGGAATAGCATATGAGAGTTGAGGATATTATAGAAATGTGTCCCCTTTGAAATACAAATCGACCCTTTTTTGCGTTTCTTTCAAAACAAATTCTACTTCAAGATATTCTGAGATACGGCCGGTCACCACCCTTAATGAATCACCCTGTACATCTAGGCATTACGCACTTTGTAAAGTTTTTATTACTCAAAAATCGTTTAAACACAAATACAAATTTAATTTATTTACACAAATGACACTAGAAAGTTAACCTATAAAATTGACAAATTGCACTAACAGTAATGGCGGACCGATCCCATTTTGTGCTTACACATGTCGAATCCCCAGGTTGCTTTTTCAATGGTCCACATACTTCTCTAATGTCAAATATTAAAATAAACGTCGTCATGTCAAATGTCAAAAGTCAAAAAATCGCCTATTCCTCTAAACGCCAAAGGTTTCAATTAATTAAAAAAAATCTCACGTCAGTTTTATTTTAATTCTCGTTGGGATTTTATTTTTGCATATTTATATTTATTATTAAAATATGGGGAGTGCAATAAATAGTTTGCCAGGTTAGGATTTTTAAAAGTTAAAATCTAAATTTTTTTTAAAGAAACTTCAAGGCACCTTGAAGAAAACATTTGTTCGAGCGATTGTCACGCAGATTTCTGTGTTGCCTTTCGCCCAAGAGGTGGAATGTCTATAAAGAGCTTGAATCGTAATTTTTAAGGCTTTTCACTCTCTTTTATTTTTATCAATAACTCATTACCTCCGTTTTTTATTTTCTTCCCTTTGCGAGTTAACGTTACTCATAGAGGAAATGTTTCCAGCAAGACAATTTTAAATAATTTTTTTATGTACAAAAATGCGCATCCAACGTGCTTTTAAGTTGGTTACAAACGATACAATTAGGATAAAATAACAAAAATATTACGCAAAAATGTCATGTTCATAACGTACAGCAAGAATTAAGTGACAAATAAAAAAATCATTATCAAAACGACAATAAAAAAATTAAATGTTTTTATACAATTTCCTAACCTCAGTTAATCTCTCCTGCGTAGCAAACGTCGACGTAATTTCAGGTATTAACGTCCCCAGATATCTATCGTTCAACGTAAATCTATGTACCAGATAGTCCCAATTGGACCTGACCCAATTCCATACTAAATCCGTACCAGATGGATTAATAGATATGAACTGCACCACCGAGAAGAAGTCTTGAGATCGTACTAGAGTTTCGTCCTTTGCTAGCTCCAATAATCTGAAATAAAAAACAATAAAAAAATAGTCGTAGCTAAGAGGAAATGGTAATGAATATTAGTTGGTTGATATTAAAGCCAATATTGTAGTATCATTATTACAAATTGATTTAAGGAAGAAGTACTGAAAACGACTAGTGATGGGTAAAAGGCAATCTAATTATAAATAGCCTTGTTAAAAAATTTTGGATGTTGAAGACACCTTTGGATCATATTACACGAAAACTATACGTAAAAGAAGGGCTAGGAAGGGCAAGGGACATATTACAATCATTGTACATATTGAGGAAGTTTTGAGAAGATGGGAAACGTTCAAGAAGTCCCTGGAAGTAATCTTTTTGGCAAAGAAAGATTTTGGGATGATGGGAAACATTCAAGGAGTAAATTAAATTGATCTATAAAAGGTTAGGATTGGGATGATGAAATATGAAATATGTCGTAAATTATGTGAGATACCAAAGAAGTTTTTGAATAAATTTTACAAGAAATCTACATTTCATATTAGCGTAGAAAAGCTTCAAAAAATCCAAGTACGTACTTCTTTAAAATATCTTCGTTTTCTATGCTAGTTAATCCTTTCATTAGTTTTAGTCTTTCAGAAGCATCAGTTTCGTTTTTGTATATTTCCAGTAAAGCATCCCAGGTAGTTTTATTAGCTTTCTTCATTCCTAAAAACAAAGCAAATTATTCACTGATTTCTGAAAGAAAAAGCAACAATAAGTTTACCATTTGAGTATATAATTCTTCTCAAATCTGGAGTGATCGGTTGTCTCGTTTTCAACCAACGATTAAAGTATGATTGAGCTTCAGACAAACAAGCTTCGTGATCGACTAGACACGCCAGATAAAATATTTCGATTCTTGCTAACCTATTAAAATTTTTTTCTTTTAATATAGGAAAAATAATTAAGTAAGTAGTTAGTTATATTTTAATATAGGAATAACTTACCTATCAAGATGGCTGTAGTCAACAGTTTCGTTCCAGGAAAAATTATTATAAGCAGGCGAGACAATGTCAATGACGTATTTCTGAAAAATGAAAACGAAATAATTGTTTTTGCTTAAACCTAACTCAACCTTAATTTGTTAACTAAATCATAGACGATCAGGAGCAGCTTGAAAATAGGGCGAAACTAGCGCTGAGGCGCATCACCAGCTGGCTAACCAGCAACAAGTTAGAACTAATATCCAGAACAGACAGATAAAAACGCGATTCTCCTTAAAAGTAATTCAACTGAAGCCTCAAAAGGAGGTAAAGTACCTAGGGTTTGTCTTAGACGTTATAAGCAGATTCAGCAAACACATCGAAATGGCTGCAAACAAAGCAGAGGCAAGAGAGACATCTCTCTTCAGGATAATAAGAAATATCGGAGGCCCTCAAAGTAGGAATCGGGAGCTGCTTAGCGGAGTGATACTAAGATCGCGTTAAGAGTCGCCAGCGCCTATCGAACTACTTCTTAAAGGCAATGCAGGTCATCACAGGTACAATACCGATCCATCTGCAGGTATCTTAAAGACAAAGAGTCTATAGAATGGTCAACTGTAGGGAGGTTAAGGACATGTAGCGAGAGGTTACTCTAACTATAGTCTAGAGAATAAGGGAGTGCAGTAATTTAATTTGCAGAACATAGTACAGGTCCAAGAGGTAGACATTTTATTTATACCTCATCCTTTAATGCTTATTTGTAGTTAAAATGAAAATTTTATACATCTGATAGGCCTAATAACTTTTTTCATTCAAAATTTAATCTACGAAGTGCATGTATACCATTTTATATGCCGTGGCCTTATTTATATTTATTGAAACTTATTTTGCAAAGTACGTCTATGGAATAAGACGTTATATCCTCACTTTTACTGCACTCCTCTTTTATTCACACTATAGGTGGCAGAACGAATGGCGGGATACCACAGATAAGGCTCAGTATATTTACCACCAGTCCACTCAGGATGCCCTCACTTAACTCCACACCACTGATGTCAGAGCAGTAAATTCGAAACAATTCTGCTTAGCTAATCTATTCGATGCCCAAAAAGCTTTGGATCAAGTCTGGCACGCCGGACTAATCAAAAAACTCATAAACATAAGTCTCCTCCTCAACATCACCAAGCTCATCACTCCTATTCTTTTAAACAGAACCATCACAGTCAAAGTGGGCAATGCCCTGTCCTACACGTTTACCAAGAGTACCACAAGACTTAGTCTTAGCCTCGCTCTTATACATCATCTACACATACGACCATCCTCACCAAAAAACTTCAATATGCCGATGATACTGCTGTGTTTTCGATATCCGAGAATTTAAACTAAATAGAAACTTCAACCCAAAATCTGTTAAACCAGTATACTCGCTGGTATAACAGATGAAGGGTCTCACTCAACCCTCAAAAAACTTAATTCATCGTATTCGAACATCCGAATTCTCAAAAATTCAAACACAAACATAAATCTCCTGGGAATCAGGCTCACTAAGAAGAGTGAAGTTCACTAGCTGAGGGTGATGTTTAACCACGCCCTCAACTGGTCCTCTGACATCCAATGCACACTTGACAATATGCTTAAGCGAGTCGGAGCTTTATGTGGTCTCTGGTCAGTGTAACCCAGAAACCCTCATTCACACCTATAATGCATATATTCATCCGGTTGCTGAATACAGAGCGATACCATACAGCACTCTTCCCCTCGCCTAGTTCACAGACTCACCTCACTAGAGAGACGTATCCTCCGACGATGCCAATATCTACATTTTTCGCTACCCCGGTAGACGAGTATACGAACAAACAAACAACACTCTCATCTTAGACCGTTTACAACTCCTCAGGAAGCAGTAGGTCTCTCGAACCCTGAATGGCTCAAACTCCCACGCCCAAAACACCCTACAAACCCACTGGCGGCCGAAGATAAAACTGCCCCAACCAAACATCAGGTTCCTTGCCGAAGCCCAAACAGGATCTGCTGGATTCAGCACCTCTCTCCATAAGATAACATTTCCTAATCATATATGTATATACCTGTCATTGTATTTATTGTAATGTGATTTGGGTTTTCGTGGTTTCTTCTAATTTTTTTCCCACCTTACAATTTGGATACAATATTGGGAACACAACCTGCCACACAGATCCCATATGCGCTGAAACACATAGGAAATTAGCCAACTAGGTTACAATTTTTAATCAAGGCAAACCACCTTGAAAAAAGAAAGATAATATGTCAAAGAAAATGTAAACACAAATCAAAAAGAAATAAGATATTAAAATAATATTTAGAGATGTGGCAAGTTTGTATGAAAATTAGCATAGGCAGCTGGACTATCATACGACACAAATTTTAACAGGACACGATTGTTTCATGTCGTATACGAAAAAAATTGGCAAGGGAGCCACAGATGTTATGCATGTACTGCGAGGCAATCGATACCCCGGTATACATTATCATCCACTGCGACAGCTGGATGATAGGAAGGCAAAGGGCGTGGAGTACTATATGAGCGATCTTAAATGAGAACATCCTAGGGAGGCCATGATTTTGGACACATGGGAGACTATCTGAAAGATGGCAAAGGAAATCCTACACAAGGAGAGAGATGAAAGAATAAGCCAACACAATAATAAAGGACATAAACGACTGAGAAAATTTTAATGACCACTTAGTATTCCGAAGAATGTTCCAAAAAGACGATGCTGGGATGCTGAGGTTAAAGAGGAGATGTTTTAGTGGGTAGGCCGGCACTGCATCCAAAAGCCGGAGTCCCACACTCCCAGCCGGGATTGAACCAAGTACCGGGAGTCCACGAGGGTTTCTCCTCCACAAAAAAATTCATAGATTCTATATAAATAATAGTAGACAGTGTTCGGCTACTTTATATTATACTTTCGAATGAACTGAAATATACATACTTATCTATACAGAGAGCATACATGCACTAGTCACCCTGGACAGACCATGCATTTCCTCAGGGTTAGTAAACATTAAAATGAAACTAATTGATTGAGATATTAGTCAATAACTTGTTCACCTTAAGGTAGATCAAAGTTTACGAATGGTCTTTCGATCGGGCCCTTCCATTGGACTAACAATATTGGATGTAAAAAATATAATTATTAAAGAACATTTTCTTGTAAAATTGAAGGAATGAAAGGATTTAAAAATAAAAATGCACCACGCAATACATATAAAAAAATTTTCTTACCCAGGTCTGAAAAATCCAGAGCTGACAGGTTTAGAAGATCCTGAACTACCTTATTAGCAATTTCTGGAGTAAATACTGTCAAGTCCTCAACAGTAGGTAGGGTAATATTGAAAACCCAAACTCGAATAAAAACGACATTTAATTTAGAGTGGTAAACCCCCTATAACCAAACCCAGCCATCTTTATTCGGACGCCATCCAGCTTCAAATTCAGTCAATTTTCTGACCGACTTTATTAGTGAATATCAAAGTTAATTTAAATGATGTAAGGACTTGTAACTCAGTGATGTGTGATGTTATTTGATGCTACTAAATATCTGTATAAATAAATACCTTAAATGCTGCTTCCTGATCGGAACCAGACCACTTCAGATGGTTCAAAATTGACCTTAACTTGATATAAGCAACGCTCCACGGCATATAGTCGAATTCGGCGCTTAATTTTTTCGTCAGCTCCAATGGTACCTCGAAATCCAACAGATCCGCTTCCGCTATACTGAAGGCCTCTTCTAATAAGTGCGTTCTATCAGCAACGCTGAAGTTACCATAGTGAGCGATGAGGTCGTCCCATTCTGCTTTTGGGTAATTGACGCGATAGTAACCGATTTGATCGTGGTTGAATTTCATCCATTTAGCTCCTGTTGGTCTGGTTATTTTTACTGTAATTATTAAAGATAATAATTGAAATCCTCCAGATATGAGCCTTGTGTAAAACATTAATAAACATAGAAACTGTAAAAATTTACTTACTAGAATCAGCGTTATAATTGAAAAGGACAAAACTGGATGATTTTCCCAAATCGGTGATATAAGTGACAGGTACGGACCATCTATATCTGCAAAGGTAAAAAGGCATTAAAATTAAGTGATTGGAAACAATATATGTGTAAGGTGTCAGGGGTATTTAGGAATACTATTTTTCTTATAAAACAACATTGAATACAGAAAAAGTAGCAGAATAAAAATCGATTAGATAGGGTATAACGTATTTGACCTCTTTAACTAGATATACCCCTAAGAAGTTAAAAAAAGCCCAAAAACATTTCTTTTCTGCAATCGTTTAACTTAGATAATCTATATTATTTAGGCATTTCATGAGTCTAAATTTCGGGTAAGTAAGAATTAATTGAAGCATTTTAAGTGATGGTTTAAAAGAAACGTCCCTATTACCTTATCACTTTTTTGTCCATCTGTCGATTTTTTAAATTTTAATTTCATTTTATGGAAATTTCATTTTAAAACTATATCTTGGGATGCCCAATATGCACCTATTCTGTGTAGGTATTTATGTGAAACACTCTGTATATATGTATATCGTTATTCACTTACCTATATGCGGAATCAGACTTATTAAAGGAAGCAGTCGAATCAGCAAGGAACCTCTTCTGGGTCAACGTGTATTCGTCTCCAGAACGAGTTACCGTCAAAATGGGGTACCCCATTTGTACGGTGAAGGTTTCCATTAATTCTTTAACGTTCAAAACGGTTCCAACCAATTTTTGTACTTCGTCTAAAAAGTCTTCGGTGATGGCATTTTTGTAAGCGTAGAGATTGAGGTAGTTTTTGACAGCTTGTTGGAAAGTGGTTTCCTTTACAGTGTTTTCTAACATTCGTAATATTGAAGCGCCCTGATGCGATAAAAAATGAGTTTTAGTTATATTTTTAGAAAAAAGTATTGATAAAAATGGAAAAGTTCAAATGTACCACTATAAAATCAGCAAAAATCGAAATAAAAATTTGGAGTCGTTCATAACAAAAGGTGTCTTTAGGTGTCAAATAGGTCAACCATTTTTTTTGGCGCGAACTGCGAATGTCGAGCAAAAGCCATTTGACTTTCGAAGTACAAAAGATGCCGCCGAAAGATGTGTAGCTGTAATTGAATAAGGTGTGGTCACATGCTTTAACCCTTTCTGTCCTAACGCAGCATATATATGTTTCTTAAAAAGTGGGTCTGTAGTCCCAGCCGCCGTATATATACGTTCAAGGTGGAATGGTCTCAATTCGCCAAAGCCAAAAATATGCGCTACTTATAAAATTTTAGACCCATTGGGGTCCCAATGCCGTAGAAATATGTCCAAAAATATCAGATTATTGGTCCCAAAGCCGCAAAATGTTGGCACCTAAGAAAGGCCATGCGGACCCATTGCCGTATATATTTGTTCTCATATTGTAGCATGAAAAAACCTCTGGGACTGAGGGACCAATATGTAAATTAAGGCCCGGGACAGAAAGGGTTAATAGAGCCCCAATTTATTAAATTCATTTTTAAAGTAAAAACGAGAAATAAATTAAAATCATTATACATTAAAAATTACCTGCAAACAACAATGTTAAAATTTTTAGTAGAGATAATGGAGCGGGAAATAATATAAAATTCCCATCGATTCAGTTATGGTGGTTGAAATAATTTCTCAGAGTGGATATTGTAGAGTTATGATAGAAAATTTCTGGTGACAATACTCGAGGTTATAACCTTAAATATTATGAAGTTAAAATGATGGATAATGATTTCAATCTATGATCTTGATAAAAGTAGGTATATTTATTATATACAGCATTCGCTTGTGCTACAAATGTCACATATCGTTTAGAATAGGTTATACTTTCTCAACTTGTTGCACAATAGGCCATCTTTTTTGTACTTATTTTGTAAACAAGCATGTTAAAGAGTCCACGTGAAAAAAATTATAATCGATAAATATTAATTTAAGTATATTCATTTAAAAAAAGGAAAAAAAAATTGAAAAATAAATTTCTGTAATCAATTGATAATGTTATCTGTATGGAAAGGAAAAACAAACGGGATTGTTATGGAGTATGTTAAAGTGACACACGGTATAAATCATTCAAAGGTAATACATTATTATTTTATAAATTTTCCAAAGTCTTGCCTGCATTATCGTAAGAAAACTATTAAATCATTAGGCAAAATACATATTAAACCATGTTCAAAATGAGCATTATGGGTGAAAAAATGTGGTCGAATTGACAAAGGTTCTCGATCAATTGATGATGTTACTAAAGATACTTATATTTGTTCACTACATATTCATGAAGAAAGTGGTTTAATAAAAGAAAATCTTTATTTTGTATATGCACAATATTTTTTTATTATTAAATACTACTTCTGTTCGAGAATGGATTTATTTTCTTTAATAATTTCTTAATTTAAATTATTCGCGTTATCTATTTTTGACACTTTGCCCCACCTAAACGGTTCATCTTTGGACCTTTTCGAAGAACCAAGAGAGCTCGATGTACCGCCAAAAAAGTAATCAGTTCGCTTGCTACCACTGAATTTGTGCCTTTGCTATATGTGTGCCGGTCGCCTACGATTCCAATATTCCAAAAAAAGTAAGGTGTCACATACGTTTGTTAATTTATTTAGTTTTATTATTTGAATTAACCCTTTTGGCAGAATAACATTCATTCTGTCCCAACTTCTGTATACACAGTAATATTATTAAAAATGTCATGTTGATCCTTAAAATATTAAATAATTAATCTTATTAATAATTAATAATATAATTATTATACTCGAGCTTAACTTTCATGTTAAAGTGTTTTTGCAATTACTTATAGTTGGTTGGCATAATTAATTAGAACAGACTTATAATTATTATTTGTTTTCATTAATTTTTACACAGTAAACAAGTATTAAGATTAAACCTAACCTAACCTAACCTCTCAATCAGCATAATTTTTTTCCTTGTTCCGAACGTCCACGACACTTTAAGCACCTTTTAAATTGCTCACAACTATGTGCTTCCACAGAGCTATAAAAATGTAAATCACCATCAACGATTGTTTCTAATGATTGACTTGTATATACCTAGAGATAATATTGCTTTTCCAGCCATTGTTGATCAAAACAGTACGAAACTTCTGAATTGGCGCTATTTAAACATGGCATTTACTAATATACAATTTTTTATATATTAGTGGAATTGTCAATACTTATTTTGTATAGGTATTATAAATAAAACATAATCAATTACGTTAAATATGAATCAAAACTGTTTTCTACGAATTCTTACAAAAATACATCTTTCGCCACAGGATACTTTCAGCGAAAACTTGATTTCCGTCACTAGTGAGAAAAAATCCCATAACGTTTACTTTCGTCTCTAGTGACGAAAGTAAACGTTATTTTATTTGTTTTCATTAATTTTTACACAGTAAACAAGTATTAAGATTAAACCTAACCTAACCTAACCTCTCAATCAGCATAATTTTTTTCCTTGTTCCGAACGTCCACGACACTTTAAGCACCTTTTAAATTGCTCACAACTATGTGCTTCCACAGAGCTATAAAAATGTAAATCACCATCAACGATTGTTTCTAATGATTGACTTGTATATACCTAGAGATAATATTGCTTTTCCAGCCATTGTTGATCAAAACAGTACGAAACTTCTGAATTGGCGCTATTTAAACATGGCGTTTACTAATATACAATTTTTTATATATTAGTGGAATTGTCAATACTTATTTTGTATAGGTATTATAAATAAAACATAATCAATTACGTTAAATATGAATCAAAACTGTTTTCTACGAATTCTTACAAAAATACATCTTTCGCCACAGGATACTTTCAGCGAAAACTTGATTTCCGTCACTAGTGAGAAAAAATCCCATAACGTTTACTTTCGTCTCTAGTGACGAAAGTAAGTTGTTACATATTTTCATATATCAGTCGCCTCGTATAATATTTTGGCAGCTTATAATTATTAATAATGAAATAAAAAGATGCTCATTAAATTCTATATACGTTTTTACCTAAACTTTAATGAATTAAAGATAAAATAAAAATGTATAAAAATAGTGCAAATTAAACCAATCTACATCTAGTTTCCTGGTTTTCATTTGTTTATTTGAAGTTTTATCACTTTTGAGAACTGTCAGTTTCAGTTCGTCCTAAATTTAACACATTTTCATGATGTCTGAGTCAGAAACCGATTGTACTCCCCCAGAAATTATTTTTAAAGCTAAAGAAACCTCTTCAGATTTATTACCGGCCAAATCAAAAAAGAGATATGAAGAAATTTATATCAAATTTTTGGACTGGAGAGAAAAAATAAAGTGAAATCATTTTCGGAAACTGTACTACTAGCATACTTTGGAGAAATATGTTCAAATTTTAAACCGTCAACGTTATGGTCCATTTATTCGATGCTAAGAACTACACTCTCTGTTAAAAATGATGTCGATATTAGTAAATATCCAAAGTTACGTTCGCTTTTGAAAAGAAAATCTGATGGTTTTAAAAGCCAAAAATCCAAAATTTTTTCGCCTGAAGACATAAAGACTTTCCTAAAGAATGCACCTGACTATAAATATTTAATAACAAAGGTAACGGAATTATTATTTCTATTTTAACAAATACTTAATACATAACTACTAATATTTGTAGGTAGCATTAGTTTTTGGATTATCTGGCGCTTGTTGTTGTCACGAACTAAAAGATTTAACAATAAGCGATGTAAAAGATACTGGAGTATTCTGTTAGTTAAAATCCGTAATACAAAAACAAAAGTTCCGCGTTCTTTTCATATTTCTGGACCCTTTTATGATATTTCTAAAAAATATATGAGACTACGTCCCGCAAACATGGATCAAATTAATTCAAGATTCTTTATTAACTATCAGAATGGAAAGTGTAGCAGACAGGTTGTTGGAATTAATAAAATCAGTAAATTTCCTAACGAAATTGCACATTTTTTAACGCTTCTGAATCCTCAAGATTACACTGGGCACTGTTTCCGCAGAACATCCGCAACGCTATTAGTGGATGCAGGAGGTGACTTGCTTCTGTTAAAAAAGCATGGTGGTTGGAAATCTAGTAGTGTTGCGGAAGGATATGTTGATGAATCCACGAACAGTAAAAACCAAATACAAACCAAAATTTTACAATCTGTACAAAATAAGGAAACTACTAGTTCATCCGATTATGGCGCATCATCATCTGAAATGACATTTAACAGTAGAACAAATATGTCGGCATCTACCTCAATAAATAAAAAGCTTGAGTGTGATACCCCCATAATTTTGAACAATTGTTCAAATATAACAATAAATCAATATTTAAATAATAAATAATATTTCTTAAATATTTAATTGTTGGTTAATTTTTTGTTATTCCTAACACAAAATAAAGCATTTGCTAACGTTTGTTTTTTTTTTCATTTTAGTAGGTACCTACATGACATAATAGAGTTCGTAGAAAAAGTATAGTGTTTTACTCGTCGAAAATCATTTTTTGAAGCGAGAGAACAATTTACCAACCGAGGCGAAGCCGAGGTTGGTAATGTTCGTGTTATTTTCGTCACTCGTGAAACAATATACTATTTTAAATGTATCTGAAATTAAAGTTCATTTAATCTAGAGAAAAATTACATGTTTACAATTTATTATGGATACTTACTTTTTTATAAGAAATTAGATCAAAAATCTCCGAAATTTGGTCAGGAGTCAATACAGTTTGTACGATAGGATGTGAACTTAGTCTGGAGTCAAAATTTAGGGCGGCATGTAAATCCAGCATGAACTGGTCTAACTGCAATTAATATTAAATATTACTATCTCCTTTACAAAAAAAACTTATTTACTTACCAAACCCCAAGTTGGTTCAGCCGCAGAGGCACCTTTGTATTGAATATAGGAAGCGAAACCTTCATTTAGCCAAAGATCATTCCACCAGTTCATTGTTACTGAAAAAATTATCAAATGTTTATAAAAGAAATGCCAAAAACAAAAACGGTGAGAGGGAGTCGAAAAACTACAACTCAAATGAAACTCATTTTATTACTAAAACGGGATTACATATTATTCTTGTTCTCTGACACTTTCAGAGGCGCTCGATTTAGGTAAGAATGGTGATAGTTGTAATTATCCATTATTAAGGCGGTAGTTAAAAACATAATAAACCAACCTGTGTGCCTATTCTTGAAATCTGGGAGTGAGAAATATTGAGAGAAAATTCTCACTTTCTACTCCCTTGTAAAAATTCGTATTTTTGAAATCGAATTCACCAAAATTGGTTGAGAATTTTCTCTCAAAACGTTCTCCTACATTTAGGTAGAGAGAATGACAATAATAAGAAAATTCAATTCACAAGCAAGCGCAATCTTAAAATGACAGCAGTGTCATTTGCTGTCAAAAGTTCGTAGTTTCTAATTGGTCGGATGATCTAAAACGATCTGGCAAATCTGTATTTATTTTCACATTTTACCTTCTTTTGCCTGGATATTCTCTGCCTGGGCTTTCACGTTATTTCAAGAATACCAATTTTTTGGGAAAGTGAAAATAAAGTGAATATATTCCCCGGGGAGTTTCAGTTTCTCTCGTTTTCAAGAAGACGCACCCTGCGTTCATTACAGTTTAATAAAGTATTTTACTCAAAACTAGGCTTACCATATTTCAAGGATACGAAACCGGGACACTTTATGAATTGTATTAAAATAAATAATAATAATTATAATAGTGTAATACCAAGCTAACAAAACTGCCTTTATTCTGCAAGCAAACATAGATACACAATTAAACTTAAATCTTAAATCGCTGAAACCTAATACAAAATATAGTTTCTGTATTGCACTCACCACTCAAAAACACCTAATTATTTATATTTATGGTTTATCTTTGTATTTCCATATATATTTATACGAAGAATGAATTTTTCTTAAGAAAACATGGTTGTTTTTAATTTTATCGTAAAATTCTGTGCATGTCATGTTCAGGTTAATTTTGCTTCTTAACAAGGCTCTGACAATATTTTCATCTAAACGCACTCGATCATCTGATCATGTGTTTCATCATGGAGGAAATTCTTTCAACAGAAGTGGATGTCCCAGGTAGACATGATGAATTCTATAATTTTCGACAAATCAGGAATCGCTATTTGTTCATTTTTAAAATGCTGCAAATGCTAAATCCACGTATCTTCAAAATTTATTGGATTTGCACTTGCATTCCAATCATCTTGTTTACTGCTGAAGAATTTTTTTGCCAGCTCAGTTCGTCGAAAAGGCTGTCCATGTTAATTTTTTGAAGAGGATGAAAAAGTTGATTTATTTCTTCTGCGGTTCCTTCAATTTTAGCCCACATAAATTCTTATTTTAGACATATCCAGTTATAATGATCCGCTCCACCGAAACTATCCTTCCACAAACCAAGATATTTTCATCTAGTTGCTGGCCGGATAGAGAGGTCCCTGGACAATAAGGAGTCTGCCTTGGGTATTCTCATAGACATAGAAGGTGCTTTTGATAAAACCACCTTCCTAAAGATAATGCACTCTCTAACCAACAGGAACGTTTCACAGATGGTTAGTGGGTAAATACATAACATGCTCTCAAAGCGAGCAAACTTAAGTGTAGAAGAAGTGAATATAAGAGGCTTGGTTGGAAGGGGATGTTCACAGGGAGGGGTGCTATCACCTCTACTGTGGAACATGATCCTCGATACCCTCATCAGCCACCTCAATAATGACAGTCACTACACAATAGCATATGCAGATGACCTGGTCATTCTGCAAAAATTGAATTTTGAGAATATACTCTGCGAAAGAATGTAAGCAGCTCTAAAAATTATAGAACAGTGGTGCTATCACTGTCTATCACTGTCTATCAATTCATAAGCTGGTGGATCAGACAATAACAATGTGAAATAAAAAATGGTTATTATAAAAAATACTTCCGAGTAGTGGTGGCTCGTGTTTTGGAAAGTTTACAATATACTTTTCTAAAACACTGACAGTTTTTTACCTATATCTGTACCGACATCTATATTCTGCTACTGTGAACCCCCAAAATTTTTGTCACGAGCCGCCCTTGCTTCCGAGTAACATGAAAAATAACCTGTCTGCGCCCATAGAGTCGCAAATCTATTGATAAGAATTCTACCCCACTCCAGTTCATTGGGAAGACCCCAAAAATTGGACATCCCAAACAAAATGACTGTCAGTGGATTTTGACAGGGTCAATTATATAGATAGTTATATATATAGATTGATCATCCATGTTTTTAAAATAAATAAAAGCTTTTACCTTGAAGAAAAAATATGGGTAATTATTTTTTAGACTATATTCAATGGCTGAAAATTGGTTTTAAAACACATTTTTGCTAAACTGATTCTGATTAATGAGCACTTGCAAGGCAATATGACCGATTGCAAAATGACCCGCTTTGAGCAATGTATACAACATATGTATGTATCATTGACCCTATCAATGACAGCAGGCCACAGGGTTGCCATATCTAAAATGTCAATCTCCACTTGTTAGCATTTTGACAGGTCGTTGGAATGCCTAATATATTTTACACGTCAAACGGAAGCATTCGCTAAAAAAAGAAAAAGTACTATGTTTTGCTTTGATTGTACTAGAGTATCAGATTCTCAGATAATGTACTAGATCTAGTATAACTGTGTTATACTGGCAACATTGGAAGCGATGCATCTAATTGTGAGGTACTCATTGTTGCCAAGTTGCGTCAACAACTAAGTGTGGTTTGCAGAATAGTAATTAATTACAAACCGGGACAAAACTATCGATCGGCCGGGACACCGGGACATACCTTTGAAATCGGGACTGTCCCGGCCAAATCGGGACGTATGGTAAGCCTACTCAAAACTATATTCATTAATTTCGCTACCTGTTTTAACCTCAGATAAATACATAAATAATAGATACAGCCCTATCATGCAATATTTGTAACCAGCATCTCCTCTAACTATATAGCAGTGGTTACACGACTTGATTGGATATTCGCTATTTTGATTACACACCTGATTGGTTAGCAAAAAATTGACAGGACTACGTTAGTTAGGTTAGTTATTTTATGGTTATTTTGTGGTTCATTTTGAGTTTATTTCGTACTTTAATTGAAAAATGTTTGTTCTTTAAGTTATTTGAGTGCATTTAATTGCTTAAAAATGCCAGTGAATTGTATTGTGTGCTCGAGAAATTATCTCAAGTTCAGTTCGATAACGTTTCATAGGTAAGTAAATAAAAACCATTACCGTTGCATCACACTTTTTTGAGGGGTATCATAATTCAAAATAAGGTTTAAACAACAACAATTTATTTTAAAGTTTAAAATAACATTCAACGTCGAATTTCGAATTATTTTATTGTGCCTGTGTTTAATAACTTTGAATTTATTAATAGGCTATCTTTAAATTAAAGTTATATTGTTATGCATACTGTACATTTAAGAAGGCTCTAGTGGCATTTACTTTAGTTATACAATCTTAGTATTGCTTTATTTTAATGACAAAATATATTGTTAGAACACCATAGTTATTTTAAAGTATACTATGTTGCATTCTGTATTACATGAAATCCTATATACCTACCTATATGAATAAGAAAACACTATTTTATACCTATTTAGGTTTCCAAAAGATCCTCAAACTAGATATATGTGGATGAAGAGTTTGGGTATATGTGAGGATGAAGAGTGTATTCAGTAGAATTTGTTCAAGACATTTTGAAGATTCTGCCTTTGCTAAGTATCCAGGAGGAAAAATGAAAGGAGTAATGCCCTTATTTTATTCACAGCCTGAAGCTGTTCCTCAACTGGAAACTATGTCACATTCTAAACCTTCTACATCTGAAACTAAGTGAGTATTTGAACAAAAACTAGAAATAATAAAAATGTTTTTTTGTCTTTGTTTAATTAATTTGAATATTCTAAGTATTAGTACGGTAACCAATAAATTTTGTAATTTTTTAATTACCTATTCATGTTATTTTAATAACACAATAATATATGTAATTATTATGATATGTTTTCTTATTGTCTAAATTAAAATAGGTTTCATTTATCTCAAGTGAATGTATATTATGTTTACTTATTATATAGTTACATGTCACATAATTAATTTAATTTGTAAATTGTGTAGTAGGAAAATGGTTGCCAGTATCGCATCATCCTGGAAATATCTAATTCGTATTCTTGGAGACTTGTCTCGATTCTGCTTATGATCCTTTAAGTCTTTCAAAGTCATCCGTTTTTTCCACAGGTACAGTCTGAAGAACATCTAAAGCATCCCCTTGAAAGACGATGGTCACATTTACTTACTTTTCTCGTTCAAACGTCCAGGACGAGATTAAAAAATAATTGGGCAGTATAAGAACCGATAATTGGATCAATCTCTTAAGGCTAAGACACGCTAAGATACTTCTGGGTGAATATAACCAGGAAACCATGACAGGAAACATCGTAAGCCTGTGTGAGATCTGTATACCCATTTATAAATGGTAATGTTAGTACCCGTGACGCCATCTATGTTTCAGCTTCATATAAGTGTTTCTCCTTATATCACAGTCATCTGTAGTCTGTGACCCCATAGGATTATAGATCGTACGTAGATGCCGCCACGAGTACTAAATAAGAGTCAGATGCGCATTGTCTCCTATTACAAGTTCGTATTTCATCTTGAGTTTTGTCTAGTATTATAACCATTACTGAATTACTGTGTTTAGCAGAATACTAGAGAATAAAAGTTTACAACAAGGTGTTGTTTTATTGAGTAGTGTATAAATAAGGCATACATCACAGCCTGCATCTGCCTGAGCAAGAACAGGCTTCGTATTGTAACAGGGATCCTTACCGAGCATTATCGACTTAAAGGACACCTCAGTAAACTGAGAGTAGTAGAGGATAGTAAGTGCAGATTCTGTGAGGAGGAGGACGAAACCTCCAT